GACATTTCGGCTATTGAAAAATGGATAAGGCTCTGTTTGTGCCACTTTTCATGGAGAATTTAGAATACATTTTAAGGATTTGTTGGATTGTGTCTTGTTTTACGGATTCTTGATGATGCATTAGTATAGTTTCATGGTGTTTATGTGCAAATATACATGGCTTGGTGTGTTGATATCAAGCTTGTGGAAATGTGCATCAGGAAACCATGCTCAGAACATAAAATGAAAGAGATAACTGGAAGTGGGATCTTTGCTCGTAACGAAGACGGTGATGCATCGGAGCTTTCTAGTGCCCCAAGTGGCCGGATTTATCAGGTATCTTCTTTTTAAAATCCTTGTTTGGAGAGTTATATTGTATTAGTCCTAAGCGTATAACTCTTGACTGCGTTCAGCAAGCACTTAGTGGTATAAGTCATATATCATTTGGCGAAGAGGAAGACTTATCTCCGAAGAAGCCAATTACTTTACCTGAGGCTGCGAAACAGCGAGAGCTCAGCGGGACAATGGAGAGTGAATCAGCTACAAAGCTGAAGAAGCAGCTCTCTGATGCTAAGTATAAAGAGATAAGCGGACAGAACATCTTTGCTCCACCGCCTGAGATAAACCCTCGACCTGGAACAACTCGAGCATTGGCGTTAAAGGACAATTTCAATCTCGGAGCTGAATCTCAAACCGTAAGACATTTTCCATGTGTTTCTTGTACATCACTATGCACTTATACTGTATATATAGTCTAATCCGAGAAACTATATGTTCAACTATTCCTGCAGTGTGCTGAAGAAGACTCTGTGAAGACGGCAAAGAAGATCTACGACAAGAAATTCGCCGAACTTTCAGGGAACGACATATTCAAGGGAGATTCAACTTCATCTTCCGTTGAAAAGCATCTGAGTCAAGCGAAGCTGAAGGAGATAGGAGGAAACAACATATTTGCAGACGGGAAGGTAGAGGCAAGAGACTATCTAGGCGGTGTCCGTAAACCGCCAGGCGGCGAAACAAGTATCGCTCTCGTTTAAAAACTCTCTCTTTTCGGTAACATCTTAACTCTTTCAAAATCGCGATTGATCGGTATGTGTTCTTGATGGGTAATCTCATATACTTAAGCTCAAAAGTGTGATTTGTATTATGAAGTTTCGTGGGTTATGGTGGTGATTTTCATTATTATTATTATTCAGTTGTTTTTAGCTGTTAGGGCTTTCTAATGTATCTTCTGTAATAGTTAACAAGTTGCTTCATAATACAATATGTTGCTTGGGTCAGAAGCTATAGGGCTTTATCTTTAAAAAAATTTAGTTGTGTTATAAACTATATAGTGTAAGGTGAGATTTATGTGTGTGTAATATCTAAGTGTTTGT